GCTGAAACCTCTCCACCATGGGTAATCCTGTTGGCTTTTTGCAATATGGTGGCATAGCCTCCAGCCTCATAACAACATGTAAGCCACTATAGGATGACAATCTGGCAGACAAGTTCATATTCCTTAGTTGTTCCTAACCCCTCTGCACCTGCCTACCTCAGTCCCCTGTTTTAATATAGAGTTACATCCAAGCAAAAAGCAGCCTCCAATCCCTGGGCCTACCTACCTCAGTCCCTGGCCTTAATAAAGAGCCACACTCAAGTGAAAAACACCCTCCAAGCCCCTTGTCTGTCTATCTCTGGTCCCTGACTTAATATAGAGCCATACCCAGGTGAAAAGCAACCACCAAGCCCCTTGCCCATCTACCTCAGGCCACACACTCTACCTCATAGTAGAGATGACCTTAATGATATGGATAGAATAAGGTATGGGGACCTCCATTGGTTGATGTGCCATGTCTCAAAATGAGTAGAAATGGCTACAAACAGCCATTACTAATTGGAACATGGAATGTATGAAGTATGAATCCAGGAAAACTGGAAGTTGTCAAAAATAAAATGGAATGCATAAAGATCAATATCCTAGGCATTAGTGAGCTGAAATGCATTAGTTTTGGCCATTTTGAATCAGGCAACCATATGATCTACTATGCCATGGATGACAAATTGAAGAGGATTGGTGGGACATTCATTGTCACAAAGACTGTTTCAAAATCTATCCTGAAATACACACTGTCAGTGATAGAATAATATCCATATGCCTACAAGGAAAATCAGTTAATACTACTATTATTCAAATCCATGCACCAAACACCAAAACCAAATGTTCTACTTACCTAGTGCCGCTCTGACAAAAATATACCACAAATGGTATGGCTTGAACAAACAGGAGTTTATTCTCTTACAGTTCTGGAGGCTAGAAGTCCAAGTTCATAGTGCTAGGCTCTAGGGGCTGGGTGAAAGCCCCTCAGCCTTGGGCTTCAGCTCTGCCTCCAGCTCCTGGCCCACTGCAAGTAGAGGCTTTTCTTCACTCAGACAGCTGCTGGCTGCTGAAGCTAACAAACTCAAGGCTGACAAGTAAAAAGGCACAGTCCAGATATTACCAAATCACATGGCAGGCCATCAATTCAAGTCCACTGTAAGTCCCAAGGTCAGCAGAGCATGGCAGGCTGCTGAAAAATGATTTGGCTACATGCAGGGTTCAAGGTGCAATATGTTAGA